TCTTTAGCTATTGATATTTGACATTAGTGGTTTGTTCATGATGAAAAGTCTAGTCTGAAAGGCGGTTTTCCAGCAATCTGAGAGACAGATAGGGCGAGATGGTTGGAGTCTCTGCATTCACTCTGCATCTGGCCTACTGGATCCCCGTTTCCAGTGTGGTACCCATGCCTTCTGACATCCTCCAGATCAGAGACTCTCTGGAAGATACACCTCCAGTTTTCTGTGTAATCAGGGAGGGGAGCCACCGGCCTAACTGATGCTCAATTTGCTTTTACTCAGTTATCCTTATGTTGGTCTTCTCCTCCATCTTCAGTTCCAGTGGTCCCTGGTGCTGGCGGTTTCTGAGCCTTTTGTTTTCTCCAGTGTAAGTTGGGTTGGATCTCAGCTTTCTCAGGTCTGCTAAATCATTTATCACTCATCCATTGTCTAGCTTCTATAATTGTGTTGCTCTTTTCTCCTCTCCTGTCCTCTTTTCCTTACAATTTTATGACTTAAAGAAAAAGTAAAGAAAATCTATTTAGTGCAGTTTGGAGATGGAGCAAAATCAGTTGCGTGCATACTATCTGTTCTCTTAGCCTGGAACCCACCCATAGACATACATAGGAGCCTTTTCTGTTTCAACTTAAATGTTTCCTCTTCAGATTGGCTTTCTCTGACCACTCAAACAAAACTAAGCCCCATCATCATAGCATTTCCCACTACCTGGGAATAAATGTATTCTTATTTATTGGTCTTTCCCCATTCTGGAATATAATCTCCATAAGAACAGGTACACTGATCTTTCTCGTCCATGCTATATCCCCAGCTCCTAAAACAGTACCTGGCACATGGAAGAATCTCAATAATTGTGCTTGGAAATAATATTTTCAGTATCAAATGAGTTTCAATCCTATGTGCAATGTACACTGGGTAAAAGAAATAAAGACTACCATGCGTGAAGAGGGAGCAGGGGGTATATAGAGAATAAGACAGAGTCTGCATGCAAGTCTCGCAGAGTATAAGGAGCAAGAGAAAATGCAAAGAGCAGGAGCAAAACAGCAGGAATCTGGAAAAGGCTGCACTAGAAAACCATGCCCTCAACTTGAGTCAAGGTCATCCTGGGTTTCTGTTGAGCCTCCAGGATGAGTGGGGCTGACACCCCAGAGCAAAGGAGGACAGGGGGGACAGGGAGCAGGGAGAAAAGCAGACCCTGCTGGCGTCTCTGCCTCTTCTTTAATTGCTACCAGAGGAGTGGAGGGCAGAAAGAGGAAAATGAACCTGTGCAGCTCCAGAGAAGCAGGGAGGACAGTGGGAAGCCCTGTTCTGCAGCAGAGCTGTGTGAGATCAAGTTACATTTGGTATGGAAACTGCTGCCTCCCATTTATGTACCAGGAATCCTTATCATCAACCAGGGACACTTCAGATGATGTTCACATCCCTGGAGGTACTGAGTTTTGTGTGACCTTTCTTTCATTAAAAAAAAAAAGTTTATTGTAAGCAATTCAGACAACAAAGACTTTTATAAAGTAAAAAAAAAAGTTACTAGCTTTTAGCTCAGCAGATTAAGTCCAGTTTGTTTCCTTCCTTCCTTCTCTCACTCTCCTTCTCTCTTCTCTTCTCTTCTCTTCTCTTCTCTTCTCTTCTCTTCTCTTCTCTTCTCTTCTCTTCTCTTCTCTTCTCTTCTCTTCTCTTCTCTCCTTCTCCCTTCTCCCTTCTCCCTTCTCCCTTCTCCCTTCTCCCTTCTCCCTTCTCCCTTCTCCCTTCTCCCTTCCCTTCCCTTCCCTTCCCTTCCCTTCCCTTCCCTTCCCTTCCCTTCCCTTCCCTGTCTTTCTTTCCTTCCTTCCTTTCTTTCTTTTTTCACATGGTTCAAAATTCCACAGTTAAAAACCAGTATAGAGGGAAAAGTGCCCTTTCCAACCTCTGCAGTCTCCTCATCTGAGGCTACCAGTATAAATACGTCCTTGGGTCCTTCCAGAAATATTCCCTGCCCATCCAGGTTTTCTTCTGGACACTATTAAATAGTAACAGAATTACTCAGAGCACATGCACAGGTCTTTACTCTGAGAGATCCAAGGCTAAGAGTTTGGCTTTTCATTTTCTCCATAAAGAAACAGCAGTAGCAGGAGTCAGTGTGACTCAGGAGAGGGAAGGATCTCCTCTGGGTTCTTTGGCAGACCACTAGAGTGAAAAGGAATTGTGGTGGGAGTAGGATGCAGGCTGCCAGGTGTCAGGTGCTTTTTACTTAAGACAGAGCTCTTCTCGCTATAAGGAGGGATGGCTAAGGACGGTCTAGAGATGGCAAAAGAAATCATAAGCTGTCATTTGTGACAGGAAACAAAGTTTCAGTGTTGCAGATAGGGGACCTTCCTTAAGGACATTGTGTGGGATGTAAACTTGGGAGAAGGAAGCTGTTTTATCTAAGCCACCCAAAGTGTATCTTCATAAAAGGGAGTCACTGCACAGCTCAATTGTAGGGGTCCAAAATCAAAGAGGGAGCAAAGCAAGAGAGCTAGAGGGCTCCCAGGTGGCATGCCAGGAGATTGACAGCAATAGGGTGAGGCCCAGGTCTGGGAATTAAGTTAGACTGGCTCTGACATTTGATTCTGAAGGTGGAACACCTCAAAGAAGCAGAGGAGGGAGGAGCCGGCAAGTCAGGAAGATCAACAAAACAGAAGATCCAAATGGACCTATATAGCAAAGGGACAATCTTGCAAGAAACTGGGAGAGGCAGAAGGATCCGGAGCCAGATTATCTGGGCTCAATCCTGGCTCCAATACTTCTTAGCAGTGTGAACCTGGGCAAGTTACTTATACTCTTTGTGCCTCAGTTTCCCTAACAGGGATAACACACAGAGAAAGATGATAACTTTCACTGGCGTGTTGTGTGATTAATTGAGCTAAGCCACAGTGAGGGTTTAGAGCAATGCCTGTCACCCAGTCAGCTAACTCAATGCTTTTCAGCCATTATTACTGTTAATAAAGGCCTGTTCAGGCCTGTTTTGCTGGCACAGAAGTACTTAGTGATGAATCTGGAAAGGCAGAATCATAGATGGATTATAGGGAGTAGTAGGAGAGGGGAAAAAGAAAGGAAAAGGGAATGAATAACAGCATAGCAAGAACACACCAGGAGAGTGAGGCAAAAGAGTTCAGATGGGCCAGGAGCAGTGGCTCACGCCTGTAATCCTAGTACTCTAGGAGGCCGAGGTGGGTGGATTATTCAAGGTCAGGAGTTCGAAACCAGCCTGAGCAAGAGCGAGATCCCGTCTCTACTATAAATAGAAAGAAATTAATTGGCCAACTAAAAAAAATATATAGAAAAAATTAGCCAGGCATGGTGGTGCATGCCTGTAGTCCCAGCTACTTGGGAGGCTGAGGCAGAAGGATTGCTTTAGCCCAGGAGTTTGAGGTTGCTGTGAGCTGGGCTGATGCCATGGCACTCTAAAAAAAAAAAAAAAAAAAAAAAAAAAAAAAGCGTTCAGGATGGGGCTATTTCAGAAAAAAACAGCTTTGTTGCACATCCATGTTGTTCAAAGCAAGACAGTGTAAGGGAGTGTCTCTTGGAAATTAAATGGAGAAAATTTAATTTTGGTTGAAGAAGTATATTTTTGTGTGTGTGTCTACAGAGAGCTCAAAGTATGTTGCCAAGAAGTGTGGTTAGGTTGCACAGAATGAAACCAAGATCTATAAAAAGGAGACTTGGGATCAAGTCCTAGCTCTGTCCTAACTGACTGATACCATATTAACCTAAGTGAATTAATACCGTTTCATTTTTAAAAGGGGCCCAAACTATTCCTAGGCTCCACATGTATTTCACATTCTCTGATTTTAACCCAAGAGTAGGGTCTCAAGAGAACTTGAGTTGCTTCCCTCACCCCTAAGTCCCCTCCCCTCAAAAAACACATTAAAACTAAGAGCATCTGGTGTTCCTTTCACTTTCCTCAGCTCCCTGGCCAAAAGGAGCAAGGTTTCTAAATGTTGGTATTGGGAGAAAGCTACTTCTTTTTCCTTTCTCATCCACTTCAGGAAAGTTTAGCTTTTCATTTTTTCCCTATGGTCTGCCCAGAGTTGCTTTCAGACTGAAGTAGGAAGAAGTAATGAAAAAAAGTGAGATTTACTGAAAGGTAAGGAAGCTTGGTTTGCCTGATTCTTTGGAAGTTGGTTGGACAGGTAGGTTGTGATTGTTCAGGTTCAAACTACTACTTTCAGAAACACTGCCCTAGAGGGTGGAATCCAGTCAACTGGTGCTATAAAAGACTGATTCCTTAAGGCCTCAGGACATTGTATGTGCCCATAGGCTGTCTCACATAAATGGGAAAGAGGCAGCTTGCAAACCCTCAGATAAATGGCATCTCAATTCGGATACTGGGCTAGGGGATGTGTTGGTCTTAAAACCGTTGGTCCTGACTTTGTGACCCTGAGGGAAGGCCTCGATGCTTAGAAAAAATATCTCGACGATATGGCTGCTTGCCCAAGGGCTATGGACCTGCATCTAGTTTGCTCATCATCCTGTCAGTCATTTTTTTTTTTTTTTAAAGAGAATAAAATCTGAACTCAGAAGCACTGAAGCCAGAGGTTTTTCCAGAGGCGATGCTGTATTATCTCTAGGGCCCTGTACTAATGATTCCGGCCTGGCCTAGACCGCACAAGGGCCCTCCAGCTAGCCTGGAGGGGTCCGCACTGCGGGGCGAAAAGCAACAACTCAGCTCCAAACCCAAAGGTTCTACAATCAGCCAATCGCGGCCCGGTGCTTCTCAGGACAGCCAGAAACGCCTACGGGCAGTGAATGGCACTAAGGGCAGCCTATCAACGCGGCAAAGGCGCAAGGGGTAGGATCAAAATTATCCAATAGAATGGAAGTAGTTGTTGTAGGGAGGGAGGAAGACGCCCGCTAGCGTGCGTGAGGCGGCTACTGGGAAGGGACGGCAGGAAGCTCGTGGAGCCAATGGCCGCGGTGGGCGGGCAGCGGCGCGCGTGCGCGCTGGGTCCCAAGGCTGCGGGCGGGAGGCGGGGAAGGTGGGGGAGGGGAGCGGGCTGGAGCGCGGCGGAGCTCCTGCCGCCGCCGCAGCCGCCGCCGCCGCAGCGAAGAGGCCATGTTGTGTGGTGTGTGGGGCGGGGGGAGGAGGAGGAGGGAGTAAAGCCGAGAGAGGAGACGGGAGAGAGACACCACACACACACGGCACAAGATGGCCGGAGAGGCAGCAGCACCCCGAGCTGTCAGGCGTTCCGCCGCGGCCGCAGGGCCCGGCGGCCGGCTGGGAGCTGCGCGCGGGCGGCCCGCAGGCCCGCGAGAGTCGAGGCGGCCGCGGCTGAGGCGAGGCGGGCCGCGCGCCGGCGTTAGAGCCCGCGGCAGAGGCTCCCGGGGCGGCCGGGCCCGCGACGCCGAAAGCGCCGCTGCCGCAGCGGCTGCGGAGGCTCCTCGGGGCCCCGGCGCCTGGACCCGGCGCGGGCGGGAGGCTCGGGCAGGCGTTCCGGCCCGGGACTCGGGTTTGGGCGACTAGGAGCTGCCGGCGGCCGCGTTCGGACCCGGTGAGTGGCTCCCCGGCTCCTTTTATTGTCCTTTGTCCTTGGGAGGAAAAGCAAAATGTCCTTGAGCGCGCGAGCAGGAGGGGGCGGCGGGCCGGGCCTCGCTGGCCGGCTCTCCCCACACAGCCTCTCCGTGGTCGCGGGCCGGCTCTCCCAGGCGGGATGCGCCTCGGCGCCGTGGGCCGGGGTGGCGGGGCCCAGGGGCAGGGGGCACGCGGAGCCCCGCCGTGGACCCCGCGGCGGGCAGGTGGGCGGGGGGCGGCCTTGCTGCCGGCTCTGGGGCCCGCCAGGAAAGGGGCGGCGGCGGGTGGCCGCCTGCGGGAGCCCGAAGGGGACCGCACGAGGAGAGCCCCTTTCTGTCCAGCTGAGTTATTTTTGAAATTTAGGGTAAAAAAAAAAAACCACTTTCAGGTTCTCTTACGGGGGAGCTTTTTAACCTCTTTCCGGTGAGGTGGGAACTCATCTTCATGGTCGAATTTAAAAGAACAATGGAACACTAGCTACGTTTAAACAAAAATAAAACTTGTTTTTTTTCTCCCTATTGGGTGTTGGCTTTTAACTCTTTCAAATCCGACTTTGAGACGGCTGTAGTGTTACATATGCGAAGGTGCTCGCTGCTTATTAAACCTTTATGGCGTTAAGATTGTCTTTTAAAAATGTAAGTTGGAGGAGTGATTCTGGTGTTTCAGAAATTACGAAGTCAAGTTTAGTGTATCGTCAAGGCTGTTTAATGGAAGTAGATTTGATAATTACGGTGCTAGACGATGACGTTTGATTAATACAGTTTATTTTACCGAGTAATTACGCCAAGATCATTTGAGCTACTGATACTTGAATACGATTAAATATACCGTTCGTTACTGTTTAAAAAGGTCAAAAGGAGCCGTTATCTGTAACTTCTCACACCTGAATGTTAGAACGTACTTGGGTCAGTTCCTAGTGTTTAAAAGTTTAAGTTCATCGTTTTATTATTTTTAAGAATATCGTATGTTATCACAAGCCACGATCGAAAAACTTTTTACGAACGAATATTCTGACACCAAATCTCTTCGTGAAGTTACTTTCTCGTAGTGTAAATATTAAAGTAGGACTGCTTTCGGTAATGGGCGATGAAGAGGAGCCATATTTGTTGCATTTGTTGCATGTATAAAAATCTACATGTGCTTAAAACAGAACAGTATTTTTAAAATATAGGTTTCAAAAATTTGCAGAATTCTATGTATAGTGTCTATTTTAAGAAAATGTTTGGAGGGCAATTTTTAAGTTTAATGGTTTGAAGAGCCAACCAGAAACGCACAAACCTTTGTGTATTTTAGAATATATTTATCTTCATTCTGCGAAGCTCTTGTGTTGTAAAGGTGCAGATCTATATAAAAATATTGTTGGGCAGACTTAGGTGGTAAATCTAAAATCAGAGATACTGGTTTATTCAACCATATTTCTCAGGGGTTATTTCCCCAGTAAAATGGTTTCATTTTTTGAATAGCTTTTCATATGGTGGTATATGTTACATCAGTTGCGCATATCTTGATTTTTACAGAATCCGTTGTTTACCAATTTTGGTTTTTCAAATCAATGTTTTTGAAGTTTTTGAACACTGGTTTTAAATGGATACTCTGAATCTAGTTCTTTAGAATCCTTTTGAATTGTGAAATGCAAAATAATTGCAAGCAGTTTAATCTAGAAAGATCTTTTTTCTTGATAAGTGGGGGAGGAGAAAGACTGAAAATATTCGAGACCCTGGTTTGAAATTGAGTAAAGGTCATAGATACAAGTTTTAGACTGGCCTAAAAGGCAAAGCTAATATCCCACTTAGTGAGATCAAATAACTTGTGGTTTAAAATTTAAAGTAACCAGTGGCCATTTTAACTTCACTAATTTCTCCTGGAGGAGTTAATTTTTAATTGGTCATAATTGTAAAAGGTATTTCTAGATGGTAAATTGAGATGTTAAGATAATTTCAGTCTTTAAAAATGGTAAACTTTTTGTTGTTTGGCATGAAAAGAGGGAAAATAAAAATAAAAACAAGGCCATAATCTTAAATCTGTCTGAAGATTTAAATTTTCTGTATTTGCTTTTAATTTCAATGCCTTGATGTTTAGTATTTGTCAATATAGCCAAAAGATGAGGAAAACAAAGACTGATACTAAGATAAGAAATAACTACAACCATAAATAAATGTACAGGTTGTATGTTGATGAGCCATCTCTTAAATTTGCCTATAGATTTTTGTTTTTGGAATATTTTCTCTTTCGTCTCAGTGAATCATTGGCCAAGATATGTTTAAAAATTAAAACATTAATATCCTTTTTTTTCTTTAAGGTGACTTAACAAGATTAAAATTATTTGGTTGCTGATGGTTCTGAACAAATACAATTCTTTTATTTGAGGTAAGATTGGGTAAATTTTTATTACTTTGACATAAAAATTAGCTTATTAGGTTTTGTTTTGCACTTTAATAATTTATAGTTCAAATAACCCATGAATCCTCATCTGTGATTTTTTAAAAGTGATTGTAAAATGAATAAACTAAATATCTGAAATAATTTTACTAAGCCTTTAAACTTTCATTGAATGAAAGATTAAACATCTATATGCATAACCATTGTAATTTAATGTACCCTTTCAATAGTTTAAAGTACTGAAGGTCCATTAAGCCTTTGTTTAGTTTGGGGAGCAAGAAAAGATTGATTATATTTTGAGGAAAACCATGAACCAAAGATACATTTTTTTTTGTTTTTAATTCTGCAATATGCCATGCAAAAAATTATTTAAAGAAATTTATTGGAAAACTTGAACTAGTTTGCTATTCATACTAATAGGTTTTTAGGGAAGAATATTTAAAAAATTAGGTTTTAAGCATGGATTTTAGTTTTCATTTCTATAATTAAAAAGTTAAAAAATACTTATTTCTGCTTGCTATTGATTATCACTGAGTTGTTTTGAATCTTGTTTGTTTTCACCAAAAGGTATGCCATTTTGAAGACGGAGACATTGGAGTTTTATCCTTGAGGATAAAGGAAATCTTTAGGAAAGTCTGTATTGTATATAGCAAGTAAGTAAATGTTTTTACCCAGCATCTGAAATTGAATAGTTTTATCAGTAAAGTTTGTCAATGAAACAAACCGTAGACTCTTACTTTATCTCTAAAAAAAGGTGAGAAAAAAACCCATCACATTCCTTTGCCTTACCTCAAAATACTTTTATTACTTTTAAAACAGTGACCAATTTATATCAAGGCAGGAAGACATTTAGTACTTCCCAATAAAATGCTTTAGGATTGCAGTTAAATCTTCAGCATAGTCATCAAAATCCTGTCTTTACAATCTGGTATATACATTTTTTAGCTATTTTTCTGTTGATACAGAGCACATTTGAGGAATGGCCTGGAATTTTGCATTTGTTGATCACAGGATTCTTAAAAAAAAAAAAACTACATTTCAAAAACTAAATAGACACTTCCATATCTTAGTTATTACTTAAATAGATTAAAAATAACTCATTTTACTTGCTTTCTTGAGGTATTTTCAAACAGGCATAAAAATACATTGTTTTCTAGGAGATTAGAGTAATGCATCTAAAGAGTCCCCTAATTTATAGCTAAGCAACTGTTTTTAAAGCATAAAAGGTAGAAATAATTTTTAAGCACATTAGGTATTGGGCTTAGTATACCATGCGTGTAATACTTCACATCATAAAACTGAATACATGAATAATAAAAAAAAAATACGTCCACTGAAAGAAAAAAGTATTCTAAGTTAACATTGAATCTGGAAATTAATGTCAAGCCATTATGAGTAAGTGACTGACCAGAGGAAATATGAAATAAGGAATGTTTTGGGAAATTTTAACAATTGCCAAATGACCAGTTAACTAAATAAGGACAAGTTTGTCATAGTCTCTGAAATTTATATGGCAAATAACATACAATCTTTTATTGTTGGCTGTTGGCTTATTCCATTGATTAAAATAGGTGGTAAGAGGAATATTTTTAATGTCTTTTCTTCAGTTTAACTTTTCCTTTTTAATCCTTTTTGTGGTTTCATCAAATTTGTGTTTATAACAGTGTGAAAAGAAAAATGTTAATTAGCTGTAGTGTTTTAAAGATACAATATTTTCAAAAAAACTCAAAACATCCTTCACCTTAAGCTTTAACATAAATGCCAAGATTAGGCTTTTCTCTGTGCAGTTGATATGATGTTACATTGGCATTCATCTGGTTCGGCACTGTTACAGAAATTGAGAATTGGGTTTCTTTTGTGAAGCATAACGTAAGGTTAAGTACAAATATGCAATAAATTTATAGTGGAATACCAAAGAAACAATTTGTTCAATAAAAAAAAAACAACGGGGGAAGGTTAGAAATGTTAAACTAAGATTTGCCTCTTTTCCCTCTAGTATCAATAATTTAAAATAAATCTAAATGATACAGTAACCTCTAAGTTAATCCCCAGTGTAGTGATATACGGCTTTCCTTTTATCACCAGCAAGATCCAGGATTAGAATAAGTCATATTTTATAAATATCTACATGTACTTAGGTCTTTATGACAGTGTTTATATTCATTGTTTTTTATATTTACTGCTTGAGCCAGTCTTCTATAATGGACAAAATTGATTGAATAGCCACTGGTACATGAGGGCAAATGTAAATTGTAGATACTATTATAGGTAGGTAACATTGTGGAAGATAAATATAGTAGGTAATGTAGATATTATATTCTTTTAAAGTAGTATATTTCATAAGAAAAGTAAATTATTATTTACCATTGTTTCTTAAGAACCAAAGTGATAAATAATTGTATTTATCTTAGCATTTTGGACTAATTCTTGAATCATAAAAATCTGATAAACCTGGTGATTGGGTTGTATTACATTTGTTCTGATAAAAACTGTTTAAAAAATTATAACATTCAATAGAAATGAAAGAAGCTATGAAAGAACCAAGAGGCTTCTGTGAACCATTACATGACATTTAGAGTATAGATCACATGAAATAGGCAATTTCAAATGTAAATTTTCTTTCAAATTTAGTTTACTTATTGTTCACAGTTGTTTCTTGATTATTTAAAAATTCTGGCTGTGGACAACAAATTTATTTACTTTTTCTCTGAGATTTTATTCTTTATGGAAAGGCAGAAGGGAGAAAAACATAATTTGAGGACATCTCTGTCTTCCACTTTAATCAGAGATGTGTATGATAGAGTAGAAAATATAACTGATTCAGCAATCAGGAGACCCAGCTTCTAATGTAAATAAGCTCTGCAATCTTGACATTTTATTCTCTGTGGAATCTCTTAATTTGTATGACAGCTTTAAGAGTTTCCAATCTGTTAAGATCCTTCTTAGCTCTTAAATTGAGTGATAAAAACAATTGAGTGTCTATTTCTCTTACACAAACTTTATAATTTTTGCATGGCAAATCACGTGTTATTTCTGTGGTTGAACTATTAGAATAACATAAGACCTGGAATGTACTTGACTTAATTGATTTTTAGGCATTTTAAAGTATTGATAAGTAGTATACAGACACTGGAAAATTGATCTTAGCAAAACAATTAAAGAGTGATACTGTTTTCAAAGAATAAAGATATAGAATGTTATAAAAGCAATTTTTGGATTTTTCTAATAATTATTAAATATATCTAATACTAAATTGGGTGTATTTTTATGTAATGTTTTCAGCTGACTACAGTTATAAACAAGATTTATACTTCGTATACCTGATGTCATCTGTTCAATTTCCTTTAAGAAATTTCTATATTTCAAAGATACATTTCCTCATTTTACCAGCTACCTTCCCCTTGCTGATCAAATGGTTCAGTGTAAACTTTTATTTTCAAGTTGGCTATTTCTGAACATGATTAATCTTTACGATTTAAATCTAAGGATATTCTGATTGTTATAAATATATTTGACTTTGATTGTTTATGTAACATTCAAGTAGCATATTTTCTATAACAATATGATAAAAATTTTGATTTATACATCATACAATGCCTGATAGGGCTGGAAAACTTTGCTTTGCCTTTTGAAATTAAACCATTTATTTGAAATTGAATTATTTCCAAAACAAGCAATTATATCATTACTACACAGTAATCATAATCATTTTAAATTAGATTATCAAGCTATGTATTTTTTAACTTTAAGGCTTGTGAGATTTCTTAGAAATGTTAATGACTTTATAATTACCCTCTTTTTGCCGAAGATTTCTTAAATCTTGTACTGCTCTTGTATTTTATTCTTAAATTTAAAAATTACTTTAAGGAATTTAGAAGATGACAGAATCAGCTATTCTAAGAATAGTGGAAATAGGCTAATAATAATGGGAGAATTGACGAAAGCTGTCCTTGCCTTTTATTTGAAAAGGACCAGTACCTATAATTTTTTTTATATATATAATTATATATGTAATACATTTATAAGATATATATATATACCTATAACTTATTAGTAAGTCAGAAACCATAATATTGCAAAGTATTAAGGATAAGTAGAAATAGGAGCAAAATCATCATCTTTCATAAGTTTCCTTAGGCTGAGCTCTGCTGGCTTCTCTTTCAAAGGATGCCAAAATACTATTTGAGACCTTGTCGATTTGGGGGAAGATATGTTATGCTGAATTACATTGGTGGCAGTAGTTTTCATGGTGTTGCAAAGTGAGATCCATTTTCCATTTTTTGGTGGTGTGAGAACACAGAGACACATACTTCTTGTAGGTAACTTATTTATAAGCACGTTATTAGACCAGTGCAAGGAATTTCTCTTAGATGTTTTACTGACTTTCTATAAGTCAGTTCTACCCTTCTTTTCTTAGGGGTTACTTGATTGATTTAAGATTTTGTCTATAGTCACAAAGTCCTTTAAAGTCAAATTAAATTTATAAGCTTAAACATAATATTGTGTTCCTTTTAAACTGCTTTATTTGTTAATTTCTTGGGATAATACTTTAGCACTTTCAGGATAATTTTGAAGCAGATCTTTGATATGTTTCTTAATTATGCTTTGTCAAAAAGACTAAAGGAATTTAGACTTGCCCTATAGTTTGAAAACTAGTTCTAGAAAAGCGTTTTGGTAACTTAGTTTTAACTTAAATCCTAAACTTTAACTTTGCCCTTTGCTTTATAAAAACCTTAAATTGCTACATTTTCATATTGAACATTTAAACAGCTTTTTTAGTGATTATTATAATCATATTTTGGAATATAGGTGACTGAAAAAAGTGTATACCCATGTTCAGAAGGTATTTGAGATGAGAAACACCATTTTCCATGTTTAGTTATGAGGTATTTAAGTCTAGTGAAATGGACACAATATTTTTATCAAGTATATGTTTTAGAAAGGATTAGTGTTGCTTTAGTTGAGTAGATCCATACAATTGTAGTAGTATGAAATGGTTCCTAATGTTTTCTTTCTAACACTAAGACTGGTGTTGATCAAAGTGTATAGTAATGTAAAATAATATGGTAATATTAAGGAGTGAGAAAAATGATTTTTCAGTGAATGATGGAAGCTTTTCTTAAGAAGGCTTGAAAGTAGATTAGATGAAAGACTAGAAGATGAAACAGTTCTATACTGTTAAGGAATGATGTTGGTTTTGTTAATCAGCTAGTCTTTTTTTTTTTTTTTTTTTTGAGAGAGTCTCGCTTTGTTGTCCAGGCTAGAGTGAGTGCCGTGGCGTCAGCCTAGCTCACAGCAACCTCAAACTCCTGGGCTCGAGCGATCCTACTGCCTCAGCCTCCCAAGTAGCTGGGACTACAGGCATGTGCCACCATGCCTCGCTAATTTTTTATATATATATATATCAGTTGGCCAATTAATTTCTATTTATAGTAGAGACGATTTTTTATATATATATATATCAGTTGGCCAATTAATTTCTATTTATAGTAGAGACGGGGTCTCACTCTTGCTCAGGCTGGTTTTGAACTCCTGACCTCAAGCAATCCGCCCGCCTCGGCCTCCCAGAGAGCTAGGATTACAGGCGTGAGCCACCACGCCCGGCCTTAAACAGCTAGTTTTAACCATGGCTGCCCATCAGATCCACTTAGGAAGCCCCAAATATTTACCTATTTTTGGAGTTTTTAGTGGCTGAGACTTATGCTTGTGATTTTTATAGTAACATCCTGCAGGTGAGTCTCCTCTAACGGCCAAATTTAAGGTACTCTTAGAGTTTTTATGTCTTCTGCTTGGTCTGTATTCATAAATACATGTACCTCTTGGTCTACTGGTGAGTGGTCTTTGCAAGATGTTGAAGTTTTTGGTATAAATCGTGGTGTTTAATAATCTATTTTTGCTTTCTATGTATAAAATGATATTCTTTTTGTCTTCTACAGAAATGTGAATCCCTAAACTGAATCCTTTAAAGGACCTGTACAACATAGTAGACACTGGTGGAAGGATTTAGTAAGTATTGTTCAGTTTATATGCTTAATCTGTTTTTGAATTCTTAATATGACTCAAAAATTTTGAGTAATTGAGTCAGAATTGTAAAAGTATGAAGGGATTTAGTGAAACTCAACATAATACAAGCAAATCAACATCATTAGATGTGTGGTGAAGTTTATTAATAAAATTTTGCTTATTAATTTGCTCCAGGATATTTTTCTGCTTTCTTCATTTAAACTCAGGCAAAGTTAAAATAAAAACAAACATACATTTGAACATGTTTTTAACACTCTTAGATCTGGGTATTGGTAAACTCCTACTTGTTTTTACAAATAAAGTTTTATTTCAACACATCTATCTATGTTGTTTCATTTAGATACTGTTTGTGGCTGCTTTCCTACCACAGTGGCAGAATTGTGTACTAAATGGCCACAAAGCCTAAAATATTTATTATCTGTTCTAAGAATAGCTTGCTCTAGATCTTACATATATCGCCTGTCAACTTTACCTTCCCTATGTAGAACTCGGAAGCCCTTGAGTTCTCTTTTGGTTATAGAACATACTTTTTAATGATTTCCAGTGTTGTAATTAATTAAAGTAAATGAATTAATTTTGAATTTAACTTAAATTTTTGAAAGCTCAACAAAAAGTAATGTAGCTTGTTTGACAATGAGGTTATGCTTTGATGTTAGAAGATACAGTTATCACCTTTGGAGTAGTTTTTCTAACTTCCAGCTCGAGAAATAGTGGGAAAGAGTTGGTGGGAAGGTTGTGGAAATGAATTTGGTGAATTCACAAAAAGGATTTATTTATTACTAGAATTTTTTTCAGTATCTAAATACTAGCTATTTAATAAAAATAATTATTTTTGAATCACATTTGGGAATCTAGATCATAATTTTTGCCTATTCTTTAGCTTGCATTGTACAGACGGCTACTGGGGTCTGCAAAATAGAAATTTTTTTTCTTTGTTTTGTTTTTTGATAGGGAGGGGGATGGTGAAGGTAGAGATGGAAACCTTCCTAATGTAGTACAATTATTAGCTGTGGTCATTATTTTAAAGAGGTTAGTTGCTTGGCACATAGTAGATGTTCAGTGAATACTTGATTTATTTTATAAATATTGCTTCTATTAAACATTGTTTATCGTTAGTATTGGGTCTAATAAAAAATAAAGTGAAATTCATTATTAAAACATAAATTTTTAATGTGTTAATATTAAATTTTACATATGCCTAAAGGCCAAAATTTTGATTCAATAAAAATTAAAAGTGGCCGTGTGTGGTGGGTGGCTCACGCCTGTAATCCTAGCACTCTGGGAGGCCAAGGCGGGGCAGGATTGCTTGAGGGCAGGAGTTCAAAACTAGCCTGAGCAAGAATGAGACCCCATCTCTACTATAAATAGAAAGAAATTAATTGGCCAACTGATATATATATATATATATAAATTAGCTGGGCATGGTGGCACATGCCTGTAGTCCAAGCTACTTGGGAGGCTAAGGCAGAAGGATTGCTTGAGCCCAGGAGTTTGAGGTTGCTGTGAGCTAGGCTGACGCCACGGCACTCACTCTAGCCTGGGCAACAAAATGAGACTCTGTCTCAAAAAAAAATTAAAAGTGATAAGAACTCTTTTTCTATGCAATTCACGGTCGGTCTCTTAACATGCATACATAGTCAAGTTTTAATCCAGTAGGGACAATTGGGAAGATTTGATTATAAAACCTTAAATAAGATGACTGTTTTTTTAAGTTGTCATAATTGACCTTGTTCATTTAAGATCCAGACTTGTTAATATCTATCCTTCTGAAGATTCAACCTATTTTTATAAGGCAAAATATGTGAGTTTAATTCTCAGTACTTTCTTACATAAATGGTTTCAAATTTAAAGACAACAGACAAAGAAGATTGAAATGGAGTCATAAAGTACCAAGAATCTTAGTTACATGATGAGAAGGATGAATTTTTGCTCTAGATGGTAATTTTGTACCTGTTTGTCCCTTTGGTTTTGAATAAGTGTTTAAGTTTTAAAATGTAAATTAGATTAGTAGATTTATTAGAGACATCCATTTAAAAAATTAAATCATTACATTTCATTTTCCTTATACTGCTCTCTGCCCCTCACATTTTTCTTTGCTATTAAAAATGGAAAAGTTAAAAAAAAAATGAAAAAGTTTGCTGAGAAATAGAGGTAAGGAGATTGTTTATTTTAGGGGAGCATTTAAACCCAATCTAGATGATGAATCACTTGTATTTCAACTAACAGTATATATTATGATGTCCCAGTGTTTTGGCAGCAAATTTACTCAAGTAAAATTTAAAGAGAAGACCCATGCTCAGTTATATGTTCTGAACTTCTGAATATATGATTTTTGGGGATTTTAAGAGATAGCAGTTACTCATTGAAACTTTGTTACCATTGAAGTTAATATGGGAATTAATGAATATCAAAGTGGAAAAATTATCCTAACCGTTTATATTATGAGTTTGAACCTTCTATGTGAAATCCATGAAAGATCTATGTCTATCTGATTATGGAATTCTAGATCAAAACATCTCTTCAGTATGTCTGTAGTAATTCACAAGTTACTGGAGAGAGGAATGGAGTAGAGCTTCCACATCTAAACCCTACCCAGTTTTCTGTAGGATACTATTTTTAATGCAAATCTACTTTCTCTCTTTAAATCAGAAAGTTTTTTCTTTAAATGATTAACCCCATGACCTTATATGTTCTTCAGAGATATTCTTACTCTCAGAATATAAATTATTTTGGTTCAGTAAGATTTGTTTGTAGGTCCCCAAGTACTTTGGTTATTATTGTATAACAGAATGTTAGCTAACATTTATTGAGATCTTTCTATATGTCAGGTAATGTGTAATAAATGTATTAACTCATTTAATCCTCATTACTGCCTCAAGAGGTAGGTACTACAATTATTTCTGTTTTACAGATGAACAACTTTGGATTTTGTTCCCAAGAAAGTTTTCAGGCTCACAGAATTCAGCCTGATTTCTTTATTTTTTAAGATAAGATTGCTTATTTGGAAACTTGGCTTTTTATAAGAACTTGGAAATCTGTAAAAATAAATGGATTATTCCTAAATCCTTCCCAGATCTTTTACCAGCTTTGATGCTTGTCTGAGCACTTTTGCTTATTAACATAATTCTCACTTTTGGCTATGGATTGACTTTGCAACAGTGTAGATTGACCATGGCTTTTTAATGTCATAAGAGTTGTCTGCTTTCTCTTGTAGCATTCTTTTTCTTTCTTTTCTTTTTTTTTTTAACCTATCTCAAATATATGACTGTGATGTCATGATAAATACCTACTATTTTCTAATTATTGTTACACAAACCATTACATTTTAGTGAGTAATTTTGGTGTTATTAATGTCATTAGATTTTCTTTTGAGATATAGTTTAAATAATGATTTTAAAAGACAATATAAAGTTTATTTCCTGTCTTGTGGCAGAATATAAAGTATTGAGTTTATCATTAAAGATACCAAATTGAATAAGTTGTATCTATAGCTATTGAAATAACTATAATTTGGTTTTCATGCAGTTTTTCTTATTGGTGCTCATCATAATAGTATGTACATCATTAACTTTGAGTTTGACCTTCCATTGGAACAATAGAGATTGAGGAGAAATTGGTTTATAATTAACTCTGAGAGAAGAATGGTGTTATTTTTATTTTTATACTTCTACATAGAAGTACAGGTCCTTTAATTTTAAAGAATGAACAAGTCACAAGTCAAATGGAAGATACTTTCCTGATGTGGGGAATGCATTGAGTTTTTTAGTTCCCCTTTTAAGGCTGGGGAGAAATCTGCAAAATCAGTTAAGGAGAAATACCCTGCTTTTGATGTTTATTACTGATGCTGGGACACTCCTTTCCATCAGTGTTTTTAAATATGGGTGACATTATCTCTTGGTTAAGCAAATAGTTTATTAAGTAGATTTTTGTATTGTATGTTAGTTACAAGGAAATTACCTAATGAGCAGAGATACTCTTTTATTTATTTGCCTTCAATTCAGTCACCTTTGAATGTAGCTCCACACGTTCACTTAGTGAGTTAGAAAATTTATAGAGAAGGCCTGGAATTAAAACTTATTTTCTTAAATTATGTTTGATTTTGATGAATTTGGATCAGTTATTTAATGACAAAATCACCTGGCCTCTCACTTCTCCAGTTCAAATTATTTAAGTAATAGATTTGTTTTCTATGGAGGAACATTGGATATTTTGGCAATGAGAATATCTTAGTTGTATATAGTTTGAAAACTGATAGTATTTTATGGCAAATATCAAAGAAGCCAGGCACAACTGACAGTATTTTATGGCAAATATCAAAGAAGCCAGGCACATATTTTGCATTTTTGATCTTTTTTTTCCCCCTAGTGGCTACATATTTTCTGTCTTCCCATATATGTAACTAAAGATGGTGCCATCTATATTGGCCATTTGTGTTATCTAAACAAAATTAATTAACATCTGTTGGAATGGAAAACTGCTATGATCCACTGCTTTGTTTTTTTAATCCCTTAGGATTCTTTTCTATAATTAGTTTTCTTTGAAGAAGCTTGGAAAGTTTTCTGCATTGAGATTTAGAATCCACAGTGTTTCTGTAATTTAGCTTTCCAGGAATTTTGAATTTTAACTTATGTTTTTACTTTTCATGTACACAGTATAATGGTGTTAATGTTGAATATTAAAAATTTGACTCTTCACTGAGTCTTTTTATGGATACAAATGTATCTGTTGCAGTAGAAGACCTTTGTTACTTTTGTGTGCAGTCTTTCATTGATTATATCATTGAGAAATTGTGTGTGTGCCTTGCATACAACTTTAATATACAATTTCATAGTTGAAAGCTGTTACAAAATTAAAGCTTTGTGTATGGTAGGCTATTTTAAAGGTGGGTGGATGTTTTCTGTTTGAAAGATTTAAGATTCCAACAGCATTTTTTTTCTTTTAATTTTTTCATCAAGTATGCAGTCAGCTTGAAGAGTCTCAAATGGACCCTACCACTGAAAATCAAGATGGCTGTCCAGTATGGGGAATTGAGGAAAATGGATTAATACAAGAGTCCTGTGATAATATACAACCCAAGACAGGGTTCTTTTAACATGGATTCCATGAAATGAATGAAGACATAGGTTTCTTACCCAACACAAATGGACAGTGGACCTGACTTTCTAAAGACTTTTTGTATCATTAACACAAGTACATTTTTGACATTTGGAGAAGAAAGATGGCACATTATCACAGTTAATAGTTTGTATGCCTGGAATTTTTTGAAGTTTGATTTGTATGAGTATGACCTCGTGGAATGTTAACTTTAATAAAATTTATAACACTTTAAAATTTCTCAGTTTGGGCTTTTTTTTTTAAGCAGAAGTTTCATTAAATGTTCAGTTATTGCTTTAATAACACTATGACCTTTACAGTTGCCCAGCGGTAAAGTGTACTGAATAAAGCTGGTAAAATAGAAATGGTGTGCTGAAAGATGTTTTTCTTGGTTATTTAAGATTTATCTTTTTTCCACAAAGTTGTGGAAATTTTTTGTGCTTTGAGATGGTCATTCGGTTGAAATGTTATTTTGTTTGTGCTTTCGTGAAACACCTTGCAAAACATCTTAATCAACGGGTAACGTAATAGAATCTTTAATCTGTGGTGTGATTTTAAAGAACTTTTAGAACAAAATGGTGTTGCCCCCAAATTCAGGATGAGTGATATAGTATTTTTCTCCGAATCATATTGTGTTGATGGAAATGGTTCCTTTTACTTATGCTTTTTAATATAAATAAAATGTCCTGCAGTAGATATTTCATCTCAATATGTAAATAAACTGATGTCTCCTATTGTCTTAATATTATGGGAAGAACTGTTGGATTTATAGGGAAGTATCTTTGGTATTCACAAAAGGACTTAAAATGTTGTTGGCAGTAATGTGTATAACATCTTATGTATGTTTGAAATAGGATTAATATCTTATATTTTTCTTATTCTATACAATTGGGAATTTAGAATAAATGAATTATTCCATGCCATAGATTGTTATGTTTACAGGTTTTTGTTTATTTGTAATCAACTAATACCAGTTTCAGTAACTATTACAAAGGTGGTAGGCTTTATGTTGAGAGACCAAATGAATTGTTAATTATATGTTCGCATTATACAGAGAACTAGGACTAGTTTAGGTTAAAATTTCTTTTGTTAGAAATAGTTACTCATACTGTGATTAATGTCAAATACTATAGCATAGGTATCCATGAACAATACATGCACAGTATTCTTGTTGACTGATTTGAGGTGGTTGGTCTTTGTATAAACTCATAAGTGGAATTTTGGATTTTGGTACAAAAGTTATCTTTATGTAGGAAGTATGGAATTGAAAGTTTTGATTATGGATTTTATATTTACCTGTATTGGACCTTGTTGCTTTGTTGGGTGTGAATCTAAAATGGATTTCTTCTGAGGGAAGGATATGGTTCTAGCAGATTATGTTGAATAAGGAAAGTGGATTGGATTTCTGGGGGCATGTGAATGTGTTTACTTGTTTGCATGGGGTGCTTGGTGAGAATATTGAATAATGATTTTTGGAATTAGTAATAATTTTATTTCTGTAGGGCTCATGGCTTTGATATTTAGGAGAATTTGCCCTGTGACATTACTTTGATAATTTGCATCAGATATTACCTGTTTTCATTGTTGGAATGGGTGTATACTTAGAATTTGATTTGAAGTATAAGGGAAGTGTTGGGATATGGGTGTTTACTATTGGTTTTGGAGGTGGAGTTTCTTGGGTTTTTGTTAAGGCGACTGGTTGGTCCATACTCTTGAATTTGAAGAACTTTGTTTTGCCTGAATCATTGTGGGAAATAAATACATTGTGGCTGTGAGAAGTTTTTTGAAGGTAAAATGTTCAAGGTTATATAATGGGTTAAAGAATTTTGTGCAAGTACAAAGAAAATTTGTAATTCTTGAATAAAAATTGTTTGCATTAACTTTTGCTCTAATGCAACTGAACACTAGGGAGGCGCTCTTGAGTTGTAAAACTTACCCCTTCTAGTTGGGATGGGAGATTCCCCCTTAAACTTTATATTTAGGTGATTTTTAGGCATCATAAAGAAGGCAAAACTTGGATTTAGTTTATGAAATTGAGGTTTTGCTTTTATTTAGAAATCATTTTACCCATGAGGGGGTTAATTTTTAAAAAGATTAGTACTTAAGCTGAGCTTTAGATTCTCTAAGAATTATCCCTTTTTCAAAATGGCTTGATAAAACACCACTTCCTGTCCAGGGAGGAAGTTATTTTAGCTCAAGGACTGAAATATTTAGCAGATCTTTAGACAAAAGGAACAAATTACATTTCTCTCTGGCTTAAAAAGGGTGTTTGAGCCAGAGGGGGTTAAGAAAGCCCTCCCCCTCCCTCTGTTGGGGTGGTCTGGAGGGGCAGGGAGGTGTGGGGGTGGGGGTCCTAAGGCTCCCTGGGATGGAGGATTTTTTTTTTTTTTTTTGGTGGAGATGAAGGGGTGGGTCTATGGTACATCACCTGAGTTGTGGGGTAAATGTAGAGAGTGTCAATCAAAGGCAGAGCTCTCAGAGCTGGGAAGGAGGCTCTAGATGGCGGCTGTGCCTTAGAGCGCGCTCTGCTCCCTGCCTTTGCCTCACTTTACGCAACTTTCCCTAACTTTTGGGTAGCCTCAGGGGGCCTCCGCAGCCCCCTGCCTCTCCTAGTGACTTACTGGGGTCGATTCGAACCCTTTTTAGGGAGAAAAGCAGCTTTTAGGAGCTTTCTTTTCGTGCCTTGTTGGAAAGAAGCAGCCGTACTGAGAGCCCAGGTCGTTGTTTTTTCCAGCTTAGAAGCCATGGCGCACCTCCATTTTTGTGCGCTCTCCTAATGAGGTTTTTTTTCTTTCGGACCCGTTTTGGGATTAATTATTGCTTTATTTTTTTGACCAGTTAACATATTTGAGGATTATTTTATTTATTTTTCATTTTTTAACGGAGGATTTTGCCTTTATTTTTAATTATTTGGGATCTGATATTTTTCTACTACTAGATAGGACTCTTGCTTTGGACATACTACATGGATCAGGTAAGTTCACAATCATTAGTGAGAATTTTAAAGGTTTTTATGTTAAAGTTTGCTTTATTTTCTGTAAATATGAGGAATTCTTGGATGACGCAATACGATACAGAGATTGTTATTTGTATCCAGTGTGTTACTTTGAGAAACTTTCCTTATTGATAGTGATGCTTCCACTGTTCGGTTTATCCTGTTGTGTTTCTTTTTTTAAGGAAAAATAGAAATATTTTGTTTTTCGGTGCTTTCTGTTGTTGTATTGTAACAATATCGTTAACATCGTCAGGACTTTGTTCCTGATAATAAAAACCATCGATAGAAGCCGGGACCTTACCTTTCTTTCAACTTTTGACAGTAAATACCTGGGCACAGGACTTCAAAGCAAACACAGATTTCCCCTCCCCCTTAATATTTAAGAATTAAAAGATGATGAGAAATAAGGACAAAAGCCAAGAGGAGGACAGTTCGCTACACAGCAATGCATCGAGGTATGAGCTATCAACTTTCTTCCTTTTTGTCTTTTTTTTTGGGGAAACCTCAGCTTACAGTTGTTTACCTTGACAGACATGGATTACTGTCTGTTTTATTATAACTATTTTTCTAATTTGAATTCGTTTTTTAAAGCATGACCTTGAGATTGCTAATATGCCACACCCTAATTTTTTGGTAGCAATTTATGAAAGTTGAGTTGTGACTTAAGGCCTCTCACAGCAGTCAAAAGGTAAGGTACCTTTATTCAAAGGGGCCTTTCCTGTAAACTACAGTTTTTCTGTCAGTAAATTTCAGTTTTTAGGTTTTTGTACTGCAGAAAAATGACCTTGTCGGTTTAGCCATTGCTGCATTGCACCATTTTACATACAAGGCAAATTTTTTCTTTGAAGAATCTAGGATATCCAAACTTGTAACTGAGGGCCATAGAGGAGCCTTGTAGTAGTAAATTATAGTAAATAGACATTTGAGAAAGTTATATGAATGAAAAAATGTACATTTAAAAATGAAATCACAGAAAGGACTCTTTGACTGATGCCTTTCAGTTTATATTTTTATTTGACTCTGTATTTCTTTTGATACACATGACATTTTAGGAAATTTTGATATGATTTGTCAAAACCTTTACTTGATGGTTAGAGTTTCTGAATTTATGAAATCAAACCTGTAATTATGGAAATCCTGGAATACTGTTATTATACTTCTGCCTTGTGTTTGTTACTGTGATTATATTTATAATTGTATATTTATATTTTAAATATTTTAAAGCTTGCACTTGTATGCTTAAGACAGGGCTTTTCTGGTTGGTAGATGTATTTTTTTTATCCTCATGTTTTAGTGTAGCTGCTTTAAATTTATTGATGTATTTCGACAAGAGTTGTCTGGAATGCTTTATCTTCTGAAGCTTACAAATGTACTGTTTGTTCAAACCATGATTTGTTCCACATTCCTTGGAGTACCTTATTAGTGATTAAGTAATAAAGCCTTTAAGATGTTTTTATTGTATGATCTCTGTATATTAATTTTTAAAGGTATAAATGAATGCATTTCTTGGTATGTTCTTATCAATTGTCATGTCATAAATTTTAAATCATGAAATTAAAAAGGATGTGACTGGTTATATAGTTTTACCAGTTTCGTTTTTAGTTTTATAATTTTCTATAAATAACATATTAGACCAGTGAATTTGAAAGTGCCGTGCATGGTTTATTACAAATGTTGAATTCTATTTTATTAGACTAAAAATATATTGAACCTTGCTTTTAAATCTATGTTCCCAATTTTTTTGCAAATTGAGTTGTCACTGTTTGGACTACTGTCTTATTAATTTGAATTGCTCATGTAATTACTAGATTATTACATTAAGGACAGAAAACTTCACTGCCAATCGTAAACTGATTTTTCTAGAAAGTAATGACAATTAGAAGGAATGGGAAATCCCAGGTATATTGACAAAGTATTAAAGATTCAATACTAAAATTGTTACTCCCTTGAGTGTATCATTTGCATAGTCTCACTTGAGTTTTGGTTTTCTTATGCAAGGTTTGTGGTTAACATCATTGATCAGAGTATGCTTTCTAATTTAAAAATCGAGCAGTGTTTTTAATGCTTTCTTTTAATACTTTTACTCTCATCTGGAAAACTACTTGGAAGTTGTCATATATTTGCTTACTGGTAGTGTGGTAGCAGGTTTACAGCTGAACAAGAAGCATGTACTTTACTTTTAAATGTTTTGTCAGGTGAACTTTTGAGTCATATACCTGATGAATATCCAAAAATACTTGAGAGACAACTTGAATAGAAGATAGTTACTTTTAAGTTACTGTTACCCTAAATTGCATATCTTGATACATGTACATAATTATGACATCACTTCCTTTAAAAATTGTAAAGCTAAAGGATGTTAGTGGTGTTTTTTTAATGTATTAGGTAAGTGTTACTTCTAGTGAGCTGAATGGAGACTGTCCGTGTGACTACTTGGTTCCTGATGCCATCAAGAGTTTTTATGACACAAAGTATAGTGTTTAGGTAATACTCCAAAAATCACTTTTGTAGCCTGAACCACAGGAACGGAAAGGAGGAGTTTGTAGTCAAGTAAACTTTTGGTCTGAGAATTAATTTAGGATCTGGAAAGAATGAATGCAAGTTTAGGAAGACCTGGTATTTTCCTGTTTTTGGAAATAGTGTAGTACTTAATAGTGATTATGTAAGTTTGTATGCCTGTTTTTGTATTCCTTTGAAGTTAATGCTCAAGTCTAATATGTTCTAATTTATCACGATTTTTGAAGATTAGCAATTTACTTTCAAAAACGTGATTTTTAACAACGTGGTATTTGTAAAGTTTCTACTTAAAACAAAGGTTTGGTGGTGGACATACAAAAAGTATACCACACTTTTTATCTAAATAATTTGCAGCTGAGAATAACTTTCGTAATATCAGAAAATGGAAACGGGTGAGAAGGATGGAACTGTGTACACACTAAGAGGTCTGTGTGTTCTAGGACACTAGTTTGCAGCTTATCTTTAGAACTGAAATCAGTTTATTAAATTTGTCTCCAAATCGTCTGCCTTTGAGCCAGATTTATTCTGATAACCTGAGGTGCGGGTAAATCTTACGCTTTTCATCAGCATTTTAGCAGTTACTCTAAAAGATGATTAGAAATGGCATAATGCAGTTGCTTGTGGGCTGGAACAGGCGTTTAAGTGGCAGCCATTTTATGACGCTGATTAATACTTTAAAAATCGGGATTTTTAAGAAGGCTGAAAATAAACTAATTGAAACCTGCAATACCAAAGCCTTTTTCCCCTCCCCTTTCTTCCACTCTTTGGTACTCTGGTACTGGAAATAAAGGGCAGCTCGATAGCGCAGGCAGCAGCTCTGTGAGACCCTGGCATTTTGGTGCAGGTCCAGCTCAGTCACAAAATGGCTGTTCCTTTGTGCCGCAGCGTTGACAGACATACTGCATTGCACTGTGTACTCGCTAAACAGCAGGAAGTTGCCGTGCCGAGTTCAAAGGCCGGCCGGCGCCGGCGCGGGTGCTGATTGGCTGTGCGCGCGCCTGGTAACAGCAGGGTCAACGGCGGCGTCTTCTGGTAGGCCCCGCCTCGTGACGTCAGGTGGCCCGCCGCAGGAGTGGAGAGAACGCAGTGACGTCGGGCCGCGTGCGCCAGTCGGGCGCCGCCTCCTCTCTGGGCTTTCGGAGCCGCTTGCTTTGGGGGAGGGGAAAAGGAAGGGAACTCGAGTTGGGAGTTTCCGGTGCGCGGCTTCTCTCCGGGAGATTTGGCTCCTGGCAGTCCTCTCCGCCCTTGCCCGTAGCTGCCCACACCGTACCGGGCGTGTTCCTTTGCCCATTCCTGGGAATGGTTTTCTTGTGTTAGAAGCCAGTTCTACTTAAGTGCCTTTTAGGCGCTTGCCGAAAATCCTCCAATAGAAAACCTGCCAGTTTTTACAGTTTTCGCTTTCCCTTCTCATTCCCTAGTGGGCTTTTCCCTCTTGTTTGGTGTGAAGAGATTAGTGAGTTTTATTTTGTTACCATTAACCAAAACCTTTACAGTGCCATAGAGGGATGTTTTTATTTTAATTGAAATCTCTTACCAGGTGTTTAATACATGGCTCATAAACAAAGAGATTTGAACTTGTTCCCGTGCGTTTTTACTTGGTACCATACATTTTCTCAATTGTCATTTGATGGAGAAAAACTCAGGTCAGTATGTGCTAAGCGGTTTATATTAAGATTCACAGTGGGATATGAAGTAGAAAATAGGAATTTTCACTTGTTTAATAACTAATTTTTAAATGGGAGAATACGGCAGTAGGCAAATATTGCTATGTAAGCAAGCTTCAGAAAGCAACCTTTTAAAGTGTTAATGGCACTTGTTAAAGAACAGTGACTCTAAAAACTGGGCTGATACCGGAATTACATGGCCAAATCTTGAGAAATCCCTTCCCTGAGCCTCCATTCTGAGAATTCTGATTTAGTTCCTGGTAAATTGTTTTTAAACTGCTGTGTTGGTGCCCTTGGTCTGCATTGTTTGGAAACCCATGCAAAGATTTCTGGTTAAAAATCCACTGTTTACCAACTACCACTTGGTAATTCAGTTACAAGTAATACATTTAAACGTGAAAGGTTATTTTAGTGGATGAATCTACTGTGGAGTGACAAAATTTGTTTTTTTACCTTATTTGAGTATTTTTAGCACTAATGAGCAGGCTGACCTTTAGTAGGCTGTGGTTTAGAGTTATTTTATTAATTGAGTAAAATATGTGACTGCAAAAGAAATGTGGGGGTCTGGTGGGGTGGCTCACCTGTAATAGAACTTTGGGAGGCTGAGGCAGGAGGATCGCTTGAGTTCAGGAGTTTGAGACCAGCCTGAGCAAGACGGAAGACCGGATCTCTACTAAAAATAGAAAAAATTAGCTGGGCGTGGTGGTGCACACATGTAGTCTCAGCTACACGGGAGGCTGAAGGCAAGAGAATTGCTTGAGCCCAGGATTTTGAGGTTGCAGTGAGCTATGAAGACACCACTGCACTCTACCTGTGGCGATAGATCTAAAGTTTATATGAATAAGGTCTGTGAGGTAAAGTTTACTGTACTATTGGCTTTTGTCTAGGTTTCTCATAGTCTAGGTTCTTTGGTAAGAATTCTTTGGATAGTTCATGGAAACTAGTTGAAACTGGATTTTCTTTTATATAGAAGTGATAATGAAAGATTTTGTAAATGATTTTAAAATTCTCAGGTGTATATTGTGGAAAATATTTAACATCCTTATAGACTTAAGTACTTGTGAAACTTGAATATTAGCTGCAGTTTACAACTTGTAAGTGTATCTAGCACAGCAAGAACAAAGGGAGTAATCCCATTTCCCTTTCTATGTATTGAGATTGAATTCTAATTAGTTGTGTTAAAATTTTAGTATTTGCTAAATGACCTCAAATTCCTAAAAGCGTTATAGAAGTAGTTAACATTGCAGATGGTTTAGCCCAAATAAAATTACCAT